TCAACTGGCCGAGATCATCACTAACGAATGCGACTTTGGGGGAACCTTGGTTAAGGTCCGCAGGTGCTTGTGTTCGACCGAGCCTGGTTGACGCCAGGATAGCACATTAAAATTGCCATTTCATAGAGAGATGGCTTCGCAGCCCTTTCATGTAGTTCCAAACATGAATATGAATTTACCTCATACTGTGACATTTGTTGGACTACTGTAGAATACTTCATTTTCGCATGGAATTTATTTTCGCTGAAGGGATGCTTCAGTGAAAATAAAATCCAGCGAATATACTTTATTCTTATATTTCACATTCAACTCATCAAAAATTGGTGAAAATAAATTCCATACAAAACGCCCAAAAAGCCTTTTCAGTGAAAATTAATTCCAGCTAAAATAAAGTATTCTACAGTACTTTATTTTATACTGTTGCAATGGCATAATTAACAATAATTCAATCATGTCAGCTCTTGGATGTTTTGTGTGTTACTGAGTCAACGCATCACACATACATTATAGGCAGCATGCAGTGTTGTTAGTGTCATTGTGTTAAAATAAAAGTCAAAACTGCTAAAGTGTTAGCTTAAATGTGTAAGTGGTTGCTCCTTTGAATGGAGAAAAATATCAAGAAGCTAGATTATTATTTTAATAAAAAAAAATCAATGTACATTGAGTTACTCTTGAGGTACATCTTACATGTGAGATTTCACTTGTGTGGAGTTTAAAAAAAAAACATATTCAAGCAATCACATTTGTGTTTTTGTTTCACTCAAATTAAGCATGTCATGTAGCAATGCCTGCCAACCTTTCAAGTATTTTTTAGGACACACAGTATGTGTATTAAGTTTACTATAATTATAACTACCGGTATATGCCATTGGATGACAGAATAGGTGTTCTAGTATTTTCACCGCTTTTCCTTTCAGTTCCGGCAAAGACTTTGTACGTTTTGTAAATATGCTGATGAACGATACAACATTCCTATTGGACGAAAGTCTTGATTGTTTGAAAAGAATACACGAAGTCCAAGAACTAATTAAGAATAAGGAAATTTGGGATAAAATGACACAGGTAAAATATGTTCATGTTTTCCCAATTATATCTTCTTTCAGAATACTATATATACTATTATTATACATCTGTCACCTTAACGCCATCAGTTACAGCGTGCCATAATTTTGCGGTATTTTACGTGGTATTTTCATCCTACCATATTAGGAAATGCAAATTCTGAATATGGAATGATTACGCACGTAAGTGTCCTCTAATAATAAAAACAAACATGGCTGCCATCAGGTTTTGACCAGACTCCACACAAAAAAGTTTGCTGATTCTGTTCTAAACTTTTTGGATTTCGGCATTCCCATGATGTATCCATGGAAGGAAAAGATGTATAATAATAAGGTTATTACAAGAATACCTCAAAGTATGCACTCAGACAATGGTGGTCAATAAAAAGTTGGTACTGCATTCACGATGGGCTTTCTCATGTCAGAAGTTGGGAAAACAAAATACTTGAACTGTGATCACAAATTACATTTAGACTGTGCTTACTGATGCATGTCACATGGTATGCATTGAGTTGTCATATCATGCTAGGTCAGATTTCATCTACAACAGTTAATGAAAATTTATACTAATGTCATAACTGATTCGTCAATCAATAACTTTATTTCCCAGGATGAGCAGGAGGGTAAAAGGCGGCAATTGTCGACTGATGAAAGACAAGTGAGATCATATTTGACGCTAGCTGGTGAAACGTTAGACATGTTTCATTATTTGACACAGAAAATCACAGAACCTTTCCTAAGACCTGTAAGTAATCAGTATGAGATAGTGATATATTCATGTAACATACTTGAAATTAACAGTCTTTCTGAGTTTATGATATCAACAACTTAGGTCTTTGAAACTGTATGAGAAATTTGTTTCAGTATTTGTAGTCTTACATAATCTCCTATTTTTGGGAGTGGACATATGGGCCTGGCAACCACAACCGATGACAACATTGATCAAAAACTCTCAAAAAACTATATTTTGGGCTAGTCGTTGAGACTCTCCTGAACAGTGTAATAACAGTGTAACATGGGCAACATACATAAATTTGATTGCTCAACATTACTTAAAAGTTGAGTTTGTACTGTTTTCTCAACTTTAGCTGTCACATGCTCTTTGGTCAGCATTCCACAGCAGCTCACGTAGAGCCCATAGAAATACACGGTTCAGTGGTGCGCATTTTAACAACAGAGAACGCCCTGTGACAAGAATATTATTATTATTATTGTTATTCAAACCTCTAATGTGTTTATTCCATTGCAGGAGCTTGCTGTACGTTTGGCTGCCATGTTGAACTTTAATCTACAGCAGCTGTGTGGTCCAAAATGTAACGATTTACGAGTAGAAAACAAAGAAAAATATGGATTTGAACCAAAGAAACTATTGGATCAACTCACGGATATTTATCTACATTTTTCTGATTGTCCAAAGTTCGCAGAAGCTGTTGCTGCCGATGAAGTAAGTAGAACTTTCTTTTTTTTTTTTTTTTTTTTAAAAATCTCCTTTGACTCCAAAATATGATGATGAATGCTGTCACCATACAGACATAAAACCCATCCCTCAGATCCATTGGTAATTAAATTAAAGTACTAAACAGTAAAAAATTATTAAGGCCCTGCACTCTTTACCCTTCCTGGCTTCCTTCCTGTTTTTTTTTATGGTCAGTTACTGTAAAATACTTTATTTTAGCTGGAATTAATTTTCGCTGAAGAGACTTTTTGGGTAATTTGTATGGAATTTATTTTCACTGATTTCTGATGAGTTGAAAAGGTATATTCACTGGGATTTATTTTGTTTTAGCAAAAAATTTATTCCAAGCGAAAATAAAATATTTTACAGTATTATTACAGAGGCAATACAAGTGTTCACTATTTCATATGTTGGGAGTGTTTGCAAGAACAACATTTTTTTTTAAAGTCTCTGGCTTTCCTGTAAAGACTCCAGTGAAATATTCACTGTTACAATATTCCTGCTTCTTGAAGAAATTCACAGAAATTTTTCTCCAGCAGTTTTACAGTATTTTTCTTGATCCCTTCTTTTGAAATATTTGATATCAACCAAAAATAGTATATTCTTGGGGACAATCATTCTTACAACCACAAACAGTAAAAACAACAGTCAAAAATTCTCAAAAAAATATACATTGGGCTAGTTGAGACTTTTGAACAGTTTAACAAGGTATGTGCAATATATATAAATTTGATTTTCTCAAATCAAAGTTGAGTTTGTGCTGTGGTCTCAGCTGTTCAACCAGCATTCTACAGCAGCTCGCACAGAGCCCATAGTAATACTAGTAAACCCCCCCCCCCCCCCCCGGTACATTGTACAGTGGTGAGTGACTTAGCAACATAGAACGTTCTGTGACATATCTCCGGCCACGAGAATTACCAAGCAGTTCTAGGTCTTGATGAACAGCTGTATTGATGAAATGGTCCTTGAGTATATTTTGGCAGAAACCTAGAAAAAAATCAATAAATTATTGAGTGGACCTTTTTGAACTGGTGTGAACTTGAGCCAAAAACAAATCATTTATTTGGGCCTTATTGTAGACTTCAACTACTTTCTCATTCACACACAGCGTTCATATCGCAAAGAAGTGTTTGATGTTGCCCTTGGCGTGATGTCCAGAGCTAACATCAAGATTGAATCGGATATTCAGAGGTTCAGGGATTTGGCATCTGTTGTGGATAAGATTGTCATCAGTAATCTGAAGAAAGACATTGACTTTGAAGATGCACCTGATGAATTCAAAGGTACTGTACAGTAAAGTGGTTCTGTGTTGCCATAGTGATGTAGATAGGTGGAAGCTACATCTTTCAAAAGTATAACTTTTGTTGTGTAATTGTTCATCATCGATAATATAGCAGACCTTTCAAAAACAGTTACTGTAAAATAATTTATTTTCGCTTGGATACGTCAAAAGGCAATCAAGGCATTTAGGGAGGTCAATAGACCATATTGGTTAATGACCACCATGAATCTGTCACGAGTGAGAGCCACAAAACTTTTGCTCTCTGAATGATGTTTCATTCTGTATCACGTCTACCCAGGCCTCTGGCCATGAAAACCATAATATTTGGAACAGTGAATACAATAACAGTAGGAAAATAAAACATTATTTGCTCTCAACAATAATCTTTGTGGCTCTTTCTCTCTCAACAAGATCTATGTGATCATTTGCGAATAAGATCAGTTGCCTTCATGAATGTTGACTCTGCTTCTTATCAGCAACTTGTATGTTTCTTATATAGATCCTTTAATGGACACATTAATGACAGACCCAGTACTGTTACATACATCAGGTAATATCATGGATCGACCAATCATTGAGCGACATCTATTGAATTCATCAACTGATCCGTTCAACAGACAGGCTTTAGACTCAGAAGATTTACAGCCAAGTAAGTATTTGTATTTGATGCTAACTCACCGACCGCATTTATTAAATTTGTCTGAAAAAACAAGGACACAAGGATGGTTTGGCCGTGTGGTTGTTTTTGAATTGGCCAGTGAGCATTCTTGAATATCTAGTTATGGCATGGTATATGAGATCAAAGTAACCACAACTCAGAGTTTGCAACAAATTGCAACTTTATTCAGAGTCAGCAAAAATGTTTGATTGGCGGAAAAAATCATGCCAATTGTAGCAAAAAATTGAAAGTCATGGTCACTCATTGGTTACAGCACGTGAACCACTCACACTTGACACTCGTGGTTCATGTGCTGTAACCATCATGTAGTCCTGATTTATTTAATTCAAATACCATCCTAGGTTGTGTAATGTCCTAATTTTTCTGCACTTTTTTCTTATATTTTTCAATAATTCTGGAAATAAATCCAAATTTTGGAGCCAATTTTTAAAATTTGGCTACTTTTTGTCCCAATCTTCTGAAGGACTACTGCTGGTTCAAAGGAAGGAAAGGAGGGAGAAATAAACCACATATCTTCTTGTATATAATTAACACAAAATCACCACCAATATTTCAAATTCAGCCAATAATTCAAAATTGTATAGACAACACAGAAGAAAGCATGATCAGGCAAAATTTACCGTTGTATCCTGAACAGAGAATGTCAAATTGTAAAACTACAAAACAAATCTACCATTTTGTCTTAGTCTTTATTTTATTTATAACTTTGACTTATCACTGTTTCCTTGCAGTGCCAGAGTTAAAAGCAAGAATTCAACAATGGATGAGGCAAACGCAAATGTTGAAAAGGAAGCAAGACAAATAGACAAAAAGGACAACATTCGATGCAACAAATGCAAATCTTATAATTTTATGGGAAATGTTTCATGTGTGCAGCATGTATTTCGAAGTGATTTTTTCCCTCGTCATTAAAGATGGGCAGCCAACAAGAATGTACAGTTGGCATGACCTCTGATAACATAGGATTTCAAGATGATTTAGAAACTTTTTATTACATTTAAAAAAACAATCTGAATGTAATTATTGACATTGTGATTTTGACTATAGAGATTAAAAATGAACCAAACGCTGTATGTTTATTATGAGTATTTTTTTATATCTCTGTTGCATATGATGGTTTTTGGAGGTTATTTTTAGGTGCTGGTATATGAAACTGAAACTGTCATCCAACTAGGAGTGATGGTCTTGTAGTTTTGCAATAATTTCAAATACCCCGGAAAGTGTTCTGGGTTTGCATTTGATTTTTTGATGCAATAATGACAAATTTGATTAGCAAACTGATTAAAGTTACCCAAACAAATTGGTTGGCTGGGAAAGCTTTGCGAGATTCTGAAAACTGTCCTTCAAGAATTCAAGATGGCTGCCCCCATATTGTAAAAATTGGTTGCATTCACATTACCACACAGTAATTCATAACAAGGGCAAACCTCAATTTGTGAATCAAATGTGCATTGGAACATGATTCAAAAGCACATTCCATCAGTAGCATCTTGAGTACTATGGTATAAATGAAACCTTGCATGCAAGGTTGCTCCCAGGGTGCTTCATATAGAAACTTTGTTTGTGAGAAATGATTCATTTAAATTCCATGCATGCAAGGTTTCATTACTAATATAGTACCGATATTATATGAATATTATGTTTATAGTTGTAGTGCAATGATACATACTGAAACAATTCTATTTTGTATTTATCTGAAGAAGCAAAGTCTAGGACACTCCTGATGCATTCCACATCATGTATAGTTTTCAAATTTTCTAATTTATTACAAATTCCAGCAAATGATTTACAATCAATTCAAGCAAATTTACAATAAATACAAACCTACAACAGGGCCCATAGCGTTGGAAAAATCCTTTGAAAGTCTTTGGATTTTTTGAGGTCTGGAAAATCTTTGAGTTGTCTTTAAATTACAGGAAAAATAAAAAAAATCTTTGAAAAGTCTTTAAATTTCTTAATAGTTATTAATTCATTTTAGAAAGGCCCGTTTTCTCCAGAGAATTACCATATCCTCAGAACTTTGATGATGTTGGCCTGAATTAAGGATCAAAATGTCTTGAAAAAATGCAAGAAAGTTTGGGAAAAGGTCTTTGAAATCATTTGGCTCTTGGTGCTATGGACCCTGTACAATATCCAGCACAAGATAGAGTTATGCCACATTCATCACTAGCGTACCCTCTAAGCTGATATGACACTGCACTGTCTGATAATTGCTGTGATACAACTACTGGTAGTTCTAATTCACATCATTCATGCTACAGGAAATCATACATTAATATAGTGATCTTGAAAAACATCTTTGGTTACAAAATTTGTAATTGAAAAAAGAGAATGAAATTCAGAGGCCACAACATTTTCGTTTATGCCTTTACAGCAACAGTTGATTTTGTTCTGGAAAACAACAAGCTGACTCAACTTGATTTTGGTGAATTTCATTCAGGATCCCTATAATGAATGTCCTGTTGCAGCATACACTGTTTATCACGATGACAATTGATCAACGTATGTATTTCACCAGAATATGGTACTTGTATTTCCATGCAATTCAACCAAAATTTTTCCGACAGAATAGTGCTGTTAAAAATATTATTAAAGTTATTGGATTATAAAGATTGCTGTAAACATGAAGACAAAACTGATTTCAGGGTAAGTTCAAAGCTACTTACAAAATTGTCCCTGATTGGCTACCCAACCTTCATGCTTAACAGTCAGACCAATCAGAGAGCAGGTTATTTGACAGGTTATTTTGACGTATCAAATTCTACCTTGTCTTTATACTTTGACTTGTGATTTCAACCCTAACCATTTCTTGCTTTGTTCATCACATGTTGCCATGGTTGCATACCATGCACGTGTTAATCCTATGTACTAACATCTTGTGTGCACCATTGTCTGCCTTTCCACAAACATTTTGGAATAATACTATAATTTGAATAATCGATTGACGTCATAATCCTACTGTACAAATACTTATGACTGCTTTGTAACAGTAAGGGGTTAACCATGTGTATCCATACAGGTGACTGGAAAATTGCTTTAAAAAAAAATACCTGCAAGGTGTTACAAGGAAAAGATTTTGGCACAAAATAAGAAAAACAAAATTAACAGTTAAGACATCGCAAAAAAAATTTACTGCCCCTCAACACCAATGATTTCAAAGTAGTTGACCCCTAAACTGCAGCACTGCATACTTTCTGATTTTGGAACAGCGATTTTGTGGAGTGCTCCGAAAAAAGGAATCACCATCGAGTGCAATTTGTGAACTAAAATCTGGTTGTCATGTTTTTTTTTTATACATAGTTTTTCTGAGGCACTGTACATAGTTCTTGCTTAAACTTTGATCAGAATAGACAATCGTCAACAACATCAAATTAAATCATCTTGGCATGAAACTACAGAAAACTGATATAAAGCTAAATAAGTTAAAAGTATGATTGTTAACGCATGAGAAAAGCCACTGCTGTCATGATGTCATCATAATTAACATGGGATAGAAACGACTGGCATAAAAGGTGATTGGTTATCTCAGTATTTGACCTTTGACCATGTATCATGTGACCAATGGAGCAAATTTTCTGATTGGCTACTACACTCAGTAGCCATTTTTTCACCACTTTCTCCGTTGGTAAGTTGTTCTGCCATATTTCCGGTTGCCATAGTAACAGATGAAGCATGGTAGCTGCCACTGATGGAGTTGGTCTCTGAATTGAAAGGATGAAAAAAAGGTTGATTTTAATTAGATACTACTGTCTATAGTGAAAGTCTCTCGTCTCTCACATACATTTCCATAGTTTGAATAATTCCGATGTAGCGATAACATTTCCAGGAATAATTATATTTTCCAAACATTGACAGTTCATTTTGGACAAAAAATTTACCTCAGATGGATCTCTTCTTAACAACAGATTGATAATTTTAACCAGGTATTCATTTGTGTCCTCTGGTAACCTTGGCAACTGCTCTTCAGTATAAGTAAGACTGTCACATTCACTATAGAATGGGTTGCGCCCAGTGAGTATTTCATATGCCAGTGTACCAACAGTCCAGAGATCTGATTTTCTGTAATCTATAGTGGTGTTGACTCCAGGAATTGCCGAGATTACCTAAAGCATTGAACACATTGATTTGTAGTGACGTAATAGCATACTGTAAAACCATTTATTTTCACTGGCATTTAACGTCACTGTTTTGATGCTTTGAGCAATTTTACGGGATGTTATTTTCACGAACTTGCCAGGGAAGAGTTTTATTGTTATTTTACGCATTCACATGAACTTAATTTAGCGGATTTTTGTTGTGGAAATTAATAGCGAAATTAATACCCAGCGAATAATTAATGTATTTACAGAACATCCAGTAGCTGAGATGGAATGAAAGTTTTTTTCTTAAATCTTGGTCCGATGCGAAATTTCCACGACTGGTCTATTCAGACGAATTCATTGCTATTAATCATTCATGATATGCAATGACGTTATGGAACCCAAGAGAGGAACACTTCCAAAAGAGGAAAATAGGCGTGCGTGCGAGTGAGAACAAAATTCTACGCATCAGACCACGTGTGCGTAGAACAGATCGGCCAAAAGCTGTCTTTCTTATTGGTGGACACTTATAATGCATGCTTATTTATCATCTCAAAAACACAGTGACAACTATTGAGGGCGCTGCAGAACAGACCAGTCGTGGAAATTTCACATCAACGCCGGAGATTCCACAAACTCATTCTAAAGGAATTATTGTATAAAACAATAAAATTGCTACAACTGGGCCAGTCTAGACCTTAGACTGACATATATTGTGATTAATGTAACTCAAGTTTCATCCTTAAGCAAATCTTGCATTAAGAAACAATGTGTTTTCATCTCAAAAAACGCAATTGAATTAATTGACTTGACTTGACTTGACTTGCAAATGACTGCCTAATAGTGTTTCATTTTCTACCACTATTTTGTCCACTGTTGCAAATACAATGGATTCATACACTGATCAAGAAAACAATGGATGAAATGATGCTAGAAAATTGAAAACATTTAGAAGTGGCTCTTTAGCTCTTAACCATTTCACCACCAGACTTTCTCAAATTTTTCTGCACTTTTTTTCTTATATTCTTCAATATTTCTGGAAATGAACCCTAATGTTGGAGCCAACAAACAAAATTTGAGACAAATCTCAGTTTTTACTCAAAACATTTTTGGCTGATGAAAAGAGGGCACTGGTGGTGGTAAAAAAGTTAACAAAACAAGATCTTGGCGGCCATTTCATTTTAATCAAATATACCGGAATACAAAATGTATCAAATTTATAATGATCGCCTACCTCTGGTGCCATAAGTGATCGATTCCCGCCACGATCTGTGTGCTCAGTTTGATATGGTAGAAATAAACCTGAGCTTTCAGATAAACAACATCCAAAATCTGAGATCACAACTCGTGGACCTGGAGAATAAACAAGATAATATCAACACTGACAGTGATAAAGACACAACGATACCATCAAGACTGGTATTTTTCAGTATGAGTAACAGTGTATGCCACTGACACACACAATTCACTGGCACATCATTGACACAAAAAATCATATATTAAAAAACATCTTGTAGTTATGGAATTTGCAACTTTGAAAAATAAAATTCTCATTTTATAAACAAATTAAGCATGAAAACGAAGGGAAAACAGACACAACTTCAATTATGGGATTCCATTTTGACTCAGAAATCGTACAAAATCAGACCTGATAGGGGGCACACTGATAAGTACTGAATTATACAATACCTTGGTTGATATCCAATAATATGTTATCAGATTTTAAATCGCGATGGGCAATGTCATTCTGATTAAGGTGAAATAAACCTTCTAATAGCTGTGCCAATATTAGCATAGCTACTTTTTGCGATGAACAACCATACTCTTGAAGGTACTGTCGTAAAGTTGTGTCATACCTAATAACAAATATATAAGGGTTAGTCAACACGGTGAAATTGAAATGTTTTCAGGACTAATATCAAAACTTATAAGCCAAAATGCCACTTATAAATATTTAATTTATTACACATTGTAGCCCTGTCAGCAACTACCGGTAACACATTTCCTAATCTTTTTTCCCATTACTGGTAATTTTGGTATATCCATGGGGCTTTCAATGGGCAATATGGTAAGTTGCTGTTGTCGCTTTCTTTAGCGAAAGCTTAAAGTCAACTGTGATAATGCACCATACTTCACAGCAAAGGCTGCCGCATTATGCACAGAGATCAGGAAGAACAGTTTTTGTCCTCTATCGTACATTTTTATCTAATACAAATATAATTTGTCACTAAATATTAATCATTAATGGGTTTAATTCCCTGATATTTAACTAAAGTACAAACTTTAACCTTTTGACCTTTCAAGCATCTACTTTTAAGTCTACTTTTGTCATCTAGTTTTTACAAAATAAAACCAACTTAATTTTTTTTCATATTTTTTTTCTGAATTTTTTTATCAATGTCAATATGATGATAATAATGTCCATCTTGGCCTAAATTGGAAGAAATCATGGAAAAAAATGTGCAAAATGTTGTTCCAATTATTTAGCGAGAAAAAGGATTAAAACTATGATTAACTATTCTTCAAGTTTTATAAATTTCCAACATGTGTAGAATCTAGTAATTTCTCTGAATGTTCGGCTGAAATCAACAAGAACTATAATTATGTCATTTTATCGTTGTAAGTCGAGTATTGTTTGTACCTTTTCATAACAATGAACAGCGTTTTATTGCGTCCAAGTCCATTCATACTAGATGGAAGTACAGCTGGATAATATTCCAAAGCGTCTGACATGCACGGTATCTCACCATCACTGAATACTGCGTACATTTCCACTATGTTGGGATGCAGTGGTAGATTTTTTCTCCTGTACAACAAGGTAAAAGCTGTTAGTGTCCTGAAAAAGTAATGCCTAATCACGTTTCATTGTATAAATACCGTAAATATGTGACCCACTTTTGAATTTTCCTGATTTCGTAATTTTGAAGCATTCCAGGGGACAACATTTCACAGAGGTAGTTATAAAGAATCTCACCCAGTGGCATAGTTAGCCCTGGATTCCCCTGTTTGTTTGGGTTTTTGACGATTTAGACTTTTGAATGCTATGGGTCAGGACAAAATTTAAAACCAACAATACAATAATTGCGAACACAGTATCTGTGCGACTTTATCATTATCTCTACTGAAACATATAAACAAGTTTTCATCAATTTTATTTAAAAAGTCAACAATGACACAGTGGAAGTGTTCAGATCAGTGTAGTGGTAAAACAAAGCAATGTGATGGTACCATCATGTTTTTTGTATCTTCGGGAGAACACTGATATGCAAATGTTATCACAAGCACAGCCTGTTACATCTGTGTGGGAGACCTAATTGTTTAGCCAAACCAAACCAAACAATTTTTAGGGAGTCCATCTCTTGCAAAATTGAAATGATATATGGAATTTGCATTACGCCATGCTGTGAATTAATTAAAGGGTGGTGGTGGTCGTCGTCGTATGGAACACATAGCGACATATACAACGTGTGTAAAACACATTGTTTACATAAAATTTGAACGGACACCATGGTCATGCACCCCCTTACCCTGGGGAGCAGATCCTCTGGCAACCATAAAATTCTGAATAACCAGGGATCCCATGTGGCTACAGGCCTCAACTGTGACCTGTCTGGCCCCTAAGAAGCCATAGCATGCTCCATGCTTCATCGAAAACTCCACACCCTGGTAGGGAGGATGCTATGTTCCCCACTTGGTGGCGCTGCTGAGTTGCAGTGCTTCCTCTTGCAGTTTTTTTCCAGAAAAACCCATGGGACACTGGTTTTTTTATATATATAGCTATTCAGTGACAGGTGTATAATCAAAGAAAGCTTAGAAAGAACTCCCGTGTGCTGAGAGTATTGGAGACACATTCAAAATTAATTAAAAATTACTTGAACTTGAGATGTTGATGGAAACGCAGAAAACTAATTATGCAAATTAGGTAACTAATATGAACAGATTTAAATGTAAAACTAATAAGGTCTGCACAATGTAACAAGTTTCATTGAAATGTGATTAGAACCAAAGTAATATTAATTATTATGCTAATTAGAGAATTAATATGAACAGATTTTAACCCAAAATTAATCAGGCTGTCTATTGTCCTAGAGCACTTATGTACCAAGTTTTATTCAATGTGATGATCAATACTTGAGATATCAGTATTAATTAATTATATTAATTAGTGATTAAGAAGCATAAATATTTACCAAAAACTAATATGGTGTATAGTCC